AAGCCAGTGTAAGTCTATTTTTCTCAGTACAGCTCGTCGTGTGATATTACTCTCAGGACCCGTCCACTCGCATTGGGATATTTTTGACACCGCATACAGTATTTATTTTTTCACTTTTTTCCCGTCCACACAATTAAAACCGCTAAGTGAGTGAATCCTCTCAACGGAACCACGTCTTTTTAAAACTGCTCTCCGGAGTGGTTTGAGGCCCCGTCCACACGAATCGGACTAAAAAAAAAACAACATTCAACATTCAACAGGACACTGGACTTAAAGAACAGTTTCATGCATATTTCGTCTTATTCACGTGAAATTACACCCAATTTACGAAAGAAAAAAAAACAAACCCCGATGATCTTTTTGGGAAAGCAAAATACACAAAAGTAATAAGTAGTGACTTATGCTTGGTAAGAAACAAAGAAGAGAGGAATGACGTTTTCTGTCAGTATATAATTTCAGGCTTTAACGATGTCAATAACTTGAAGAAAAGTTATTTTGAGAATTTTTACAGCTAAAAATAAAAATGATGTTTTATTTTGACAAGCAAGACACCGAAGTATGACATGATTTTTTTTACTGAAAATTTACTTGTATCCTTCATTTTAGGGCATTTAAACAGATGCAGTGTAGAGAAAAGCGCTGAGACGAAGCAGACACCGTGCTTAACATCAGCCAACGCCAATCACATTCCTCAGTTTGGCCGCCTGAATAAAATACCAGCTAGTGGAAAAGCAGGAGCCTGGTGCGCAAAGAGTAACGATGGCAACCAGTGGCTGCAGATTTCCTTTGGACGACAAACTACAGTGACTAAAGTGGCGACCCAGGGAAGGTATGACTCAGACCAATGCGTGACTAGCTACAGTTTATCCTACAGCGTGGATGGTGCTCACTGGGTCTGGTACAGGCTTTCTGATGGACACATTAAGGTATGACTAACATGCAGTGGCATTTCCGGCAATTCTCATTGTGTAGGAAACCACAAGATGTGTTTCATTTTGATATACTCCTACATATCTAGCATGATTTTTGAAAACGTTATCGCTAAAATATGCCTCCAGTTCCGTCAAGCTCTCCAAAAGTAACCATTATAAGTCAAAAACTAATTGTGCAGCCATCACTTTTTCTCTTCTGTTCTCCTCTTCTCTTTCTCCTTGTTCTTTTTATTGTTCCTTTCCTTTTTCTTCGCTAGTGTTAGTGTTTTCTTTAGTGCTAGTGCTAATTTTCTGGCTTAATCGGACACAAAAAAAAACTTGCCTTTTAGCCTTCAATTTTTCACTAATTAATATAAAGCTGCAAATGTTGGCAGGTACGTTCTCAAAACATCCGGCCAGGTATTATTTTTATTATTTGGAGTGCAAGTCATTTCTATAGATCTATCTATAGGGGCTTCAGCGTAAGCTTACACGGAAATACAGGAGCTTCTTTTAATAAGCATGATGCCATGTGACCACTTGAATCAAGTGATAGTTGTTATTGCAGACTGCGCGACTTTCTACTTCTCATTAACATGTTCTTATATTTTTTTATAATCTTAACACGGTGGCATTTTGACTTTTAAAAGCCTCGAGAAAGGGTTGTGATCATGTATTTTACAAATATTTTGGTCAGGTATTTGGAGGCAACGTTGACCGCAACACTCCAGTTCAGCATTCCCTGCACTCGTCAATCCAAGCCCGCTATCTTCGATTTTATCCCAAAACTTGGCAAAGTCACATTTGCATGAGGGCTGAAGTTTATGGCTGTCAGGAAGGTAATTTATACAGGAGGAATTCCTGGATTTCAGTAGCTAGCAGTTCTATAATTCGAGGAGGCCTCTCCTCGCACCTCTATCCTCTTGCAAACAAGCAAAGAAAAAACATACAAACAAACAAGGAACTAAAACGAAAAAGAGGCTTATAAAAGGTAACGGGTATCCGCAACGATGTTACGAAAATATATTTCAAAATATAAAAATAGTGAGCATGATAGTAATATGACACGTGCTTTTGCACGTAGTGTTTGTCACACCACCCGTAATGCACTAGGTATATAGTGGCCAACTGGAAAATTAACTTTATGATGTATATGCTGTAAAAAACGACATGACCTTTCATTAAAACAAGCAAACTCTTAAGCATCGATTACCATTGACAAATATATAAAAAATTGGACAGAACCAGTCCAATCATGATAATTATTTGGCTAATGACTGCCCTGTGTTCTCTTCCTTTTTTCGTTAATCGAGAATAAACTTCTTTTTTATAAGGACACCGTTGCTCCATGTCGCTTGGAATTGAAGATGGCCGAATTCAAGACAGCGCCATTACTGCGTCCACCATTCACAGCAGTGCCTTCGTAGCCCACCTCGGCCGTTTGAACCTGGTGGCTAGGTCTGGTAAGTCAGGAGCCTGGCGTGCAAAGACAAATAACAACAAAGAATGGCTGCAGATCGATCTTGGAAATCCCACCACCGTCACTAAAGTAGCCACGCAAGGAAGGCAAAATGCCGATCAATGGCCGACCAGCTACTCAATATCTTACAGCCTCACAGGTTCTTATTGGGTCCAGTACACAGTGCGCGGTAAAATAAAGGTAATAACACTATATTACACCGGCCTCAGAAAACACTTAGTCACCTAAAGCATCTCTAAAGTTGAAAAATAGAAATGATGAATGTTAAACTGTTGGCAACTGAAAAAATCCTCGTCTTTCGGCTCGAATATAAATATAAAAAGACATTCGTCAGTCAAAGCATTGGTGATTTAAATGTTGAATCAAAATGATGTTTTTATTGAGGAGATCAAGCTAAGGCACCGGCACCAAGCCCACTGTGTGTCGTGTGTACTTGAAAAAAAAGAAAGCCTGTTCACTGACATTGGTACCCAGCCCAGAGCACCCAGATCTCGTAAACAGAATGCTCTGGCTCTTTGGTCAGCAGGGCTCTGGGTAAGAGATTGGCGAGTAACGCGGCTTTCGACAACCATCTTCGTTTTCTTCAAATGGTGTAAAACAAACTAGAGATAAAAAAAATATTCTAGCAAAAAAATGGATTGTTTCTTACTGTAACAAAAAAACCAAAGTGCTGGTTGTTATTAAATATTCCAACACCTTTATTTTTTATAATTCCTCTGAAATTATTTTATGATGTTTCGATTTTATAGGTCCTCCGGGGAAACTTTGATCGTGACTCGATTGTTGTCCATGATTTGTTCCCGCCATTCCATGCCCGCTTTGTTCGAATCCATCCTTTGAGCTGGTATGGCTTTGTTTGTGTGCGTGCTGAGCTGTATGGATGTCCTATTACGGTAAGAGTCCAGTAGTTATAGACCTTTTTAGCCAGTGAAAGTCTATTTTTCTCAGTACAACTCGTCGTGTGATATTACGCTCAGGACCCGTCCACTCACATGGGGATATTTTTGACACCGCATACAGTATTTATTTTTTTACTTTTTCCCCGTCCACACAATTAAAACCGCTAAGTGAGTGAATCCTCTCAACGGAACCACGTCTTTTTAAAACTGCTCTCCAGAGTGGTTTGAGGCCCCGTCAACACGAATCGGACTAAAAAAAAAACAACATTTAACATTCAACAGGACACTGGACTTAAAGAACAGTTTCCTGCATATTTCGTCTTATTCACGTGAAATTACACCCAATTTACGAAAGAAAAATAAACAAACCCCGATGATCTTTTAGGGAAAGCAAAATACACAAAAGTAATAAGTAGGGACTTATGCTTGGTAAGAAGCAAAGAAGAGAGGAATGACGTTTTCTGTCAGTATGTAATTTCAGGCTTTAACGATGTCAATAACTTGAAGAAAAGTTATTTTGAGAATTTTGACAGCTAAAAATAAAAATGATGTTTTATTTTGACAAGCAAGATACCAAAGTATGACATGATTTTTTTTACTGAAAATTTACTTGTATCCTTCATTTTAGGGCATTTAAACAGATGCAGTGTAGAGAAAAGCGCTGAGACGAAGCAGACACCGTGCTAACGGCTCAGTGACGTATTTGGAGTTTTAATGAAACCTTGTTTCATTTTACTTTGAGGGTGTAACATGTAGAATAAAAAGGAAAAATTATGGCCTGTGTACATGTCCTTTATACATTAGTAGCATAAGGCAAAGTTCCAGATACTTTTTGGAGAAAAATATGTTTTAATCCAACTGCGAATTTTAAGACTCTCAATTATGTTATGCCGGGGAATCGATTTGCGGACATCATTAGCATCCAAATTGCTGAGAATTAAGCGATGTATTTTCCCTTACTAGCCTACAGTCTCTAATAAGCCACCCACCCTCCCTACCCATACGTTTTATTTCCACAGTCAGCCTGTTGCGCGAAATAAAAAAGGTACCTAGTAATCCCCAACCTCAAATCAGGATGCAGGATTAACTGCGTACATGAAACAGTTTCACTGCTCATTCCTAGAATTGTCTTTTTTTGGCGCACATTAGTTAGAAACCCTGCCGCGCACTCTCTAACCATTTTTCAGCTTTCGATCAGAACATTATGAATGAGGACAGTTACTGATATATTTAGAATTAACGTTTGTATACAAGCCTTAACTTAAGCCTCTACAGCTTAGAAAGGTCCATTAATCGAAGAAGCACAAATAATGGACGAAAAACTGGATTTGCACCAAATTTGCTCATGTTCAAATTTATGCAAACTGAGAGATAAATCTGTGAAAAGCGGTAAATGCCACATTTGCATACCTATTTATACTGGGGTGTAAATAGGTATACAGAGAACAGGAGAAAAATGCTTGCTCACTTAGTTTTTATTTTAAAAAGGTTCAGGAGAAAATGGTCGATGAGAGCCGTTTAAATCTCTTTGCACATCCGGCTAGTAGTTAAATGTTAGTAATGTTTTTTAAATGTCTAGGGAGGCGCTGAAATACGGTACTTCTTCTCCCACTTCATGAGAAACACCACAGCATTATAGAATGCAATTTTTCTTTATTGTTTTCTACACCGTTCACTGTTTCCCAAGTTACATAATCAGTTTTTCATGTCTTAGACGTCTACATTCCTTTTTGAGCAATCCAGGGCTCTTGCTGCGGCACAAATACTCCTGGCTGTCCTGGTCATTTTAACCAAATGGCTGGGCTGAAACAAGAAAAGTATCTTGACTTAATGACTTTGTCATGGTTACTTAGGAGAAACTAACTTACGACAATTCAAAGGATTAATTCAACAAAGGGGATGTTCAATTTCCATATTAGTCAATAGATGCACTATTGTGTCGTTGTCATTGACTGTGTAAAGGCTGTTGTGTTATTGTTAGAGCGCCAGGGCCTGTCCTTTGTGACGTAACCCAGGACTTCATATTGCCACTTGGTATACGGTACACAACGCAAAAAAGACGTGTTTGTAGTACCTTATGACAGCGCATGCTCTTGGGGAGAAAATTACAATACAACAACACTGTAAAGAAGGAGGAGTAGCCTAAACACTTTCCTTTACCTCTAAAATTGGCCTAAAAGTAAAAACTTCTAACATGCTGATCCAAATCTGAGAAAACAACCTACTTTAAGGCGTAGCGTAAAGCTGTGCAGCAAATGAATCCCCGCGACACAACGTCTAGGGAACGAGTGCAGAAATTCCATGCTTATGACATGTCACCTCTGTTTGGATGAAGTCAAATAATACGCAATACCCTGTGGTACGCATGCCCCACTTTAGACAGAAGGAAATTGGAACCGAGATGTGCGGCCCGCAGTTGTTTCTGGGATTGTTAAGAGGAACTAATCCAGCAGCGAAAATTTCTTTTGGGATCACTTTCTTGGGGAGCACTCATCTCCATACTCCAAACTAACATTTCACTCTCACAAGACATTCTCAGACATTTCCCTTTTCCTACATGAAATTTCTAAGTACAGAGTCTAAGTATCTTCAATTTTTAAGGAAAAAAAATTTAGAAGGGGTTGAGTAGAACTCGAATCCGAAGCGTAGCATCTGCAGTCCATCTCCCATACCATTACGCCACTGAGGATTTGCTGACGATTGATGGCTTGATTTGAAGATATATAGTAACAACCCTAACCCCAAATAGAAGTTAACCGTTTATCGAGTCAGTGCTTAACCCTAATCACTATTCTCAGGGATTAACCTTTAACAACCTCTGAGGCCAACGGAACATTGCATACAAACGGAGTTGGAAACTAAATGGGAAGGCTCGGTTACTATTCTAAGCTTAGTGGCCAAGCCCCCCCCCCCAAAAAAAAAATTTCGCTACCCGTCAGCTATTCGCTACTTCAACATTTCCAGTAACGCACCTTATCATTCGACGCAAATTTTTCTTTCTTTTCATTGGTCGAGAGCCCGCCGCGTGACCTGCAAATAACTGCCTACAAATAGTGGTCTGCTCATGCGCAATGCCGTCTAACTGTGTTTGGCCTCAAATAATATTCTGCACATACGTAAAGGAAACCGTGCTTTTCTCCTTCTTGCGATCGCTCTTGCGTGAAAATGGCAGATCGCTTCGCTTCCCGAGGATGTTCATTAAATAAACAAACTCGGTGATCGAATGATAAAAAAGTGAATGATTATTGAACTCGGTTATCGCAAAATATCGTGATTTGTCAGTGTCTCGCTGATCAATTATTTGCCTCAAACTTCGGCTTTGGAAAATAATTGATATGCTCGCCACAGACAAATCACGATATTTTGCTCAACCTCATCCAATAATTGTTAATTATTTGCCCCCCAAAGTTTTGCACAAGCATTGTTTTCAATTTGTCTTGGGGCAGCTGTAACACCCAGGAGAAATGAAAAACAAAGGTTATGCAAAATTTTGGGGGGCAAAAAGGGTGCATCGTGGGAAACATGGAAGTGGCGTATTGGCCATTTTTTCCCAGTCCCCAGTAAAGGTCTCAGAAGTCTTTTCGAAAGTTTATTATGCCCAGTTCCCTTCTCTTTCCCTTAGGTGATTCGCTGGTTTTGTACTGCGCATCTCTTACTGGGCATAACAAGATGGCCGCCCTAAAAAAGAGCATCTGAAGTAACATTATTAAAATGAAGTTGACTGAAGAGAAACGCTATTGGAATTTTCGCTTGCGGTTCTTTCTTGCCGATGTGAGACTTAATGTGTTGGGAATGTGCACAACGTAAGCAGTACGCGTGTTGCTGAGTTCGACTTCCTCACGGAGAACCTCGATAGTGGATGTTAAACTTGCGCTTACTCAGTTTGATTTTCATTTAGACGCTTTCTTTATCACATTGTGTAGTAAATGTGATATCTCGATATAAATTCTGTAAAAACGGACTTTTTAATAATTCCTTCTCTCTTTCACACACATACCTTTTTGAAACTCGCCCCAGTCCTCTCTCAAAAATCGGAGAAAATGCATATGGTGAACACTTTTTGCAGCTATACAGCAAAAACGACCCCCACTTTTTTATTTCATGATTTTGAATAAGGACAGTGCTTCCTTTCGATGAGAAAAAAATTGGCACAAATCTATGTTTCCCTTTTTTTGCAATTTTACTAAATCGTACGAATTAAGCTATCACGGGTCGAATAGTGGGTGTCCAATTTAATTCTACTTTGAAGCGTAAAGCATAAACAAGGGCATTAAAAGACATTTTTCTAGTACGTAAGTGGATAAACAATACATTAAAGTCAAATTCTGTGCGATACCACATGCATCATCGAAAAAATCTCTCGTTTTTGTTTAGTTTTGGTCTGCGCGGGGTTTTTTCAAAGGATTCTAAATAGCCGTATTTGTAAGCATTGTGACGTCAAAACAAGCACGGTGACCCCCACTTTTTATAACTTTTTTATCATCTTCTTGACTTGTTACATCAGTGTACCAAGTTTCATCTACAATCTATGGTAGGCTCTTTTACTAAGGAATCACCTTAAGTGGCGAATGGATCACTCGCGAAAAGCTGTTTATGAAGCTTCTTTTTTCAAGAACACGATCTCTATATCTCGCAGGACTCAGTAGTAACAAATAAAAGCTGCTCTGTTTGCAGGATGAGATGTCGTAAAGTGGGCTGAAGGTAAATGTAACTCTTCGCCTTTCGAATTAAATGATGGACTTCTTTGCAGCATAAGGTTGTGTGCATTGGACTTAATTTACTGAAAATTTGTCACACCTACCCTTTCCGATTAGCCCGCCAGTCACAGACAACCGACTGCATATGACATCGAATTGTTTGGGTTTTTGTTAGCATCATTTGGGTCTTGGGCTTGAAAATTATCGCACCCGAATACATATGACGGCAAGAGCAAGAAATTTTCCTCGTTAGGATAAAAACCGGGCACTAGAAACACCGCTTCCCTATGCATTTCTGATGATGATGAACGAACTGAGCGCTTGATAACGAAGAAAACTATAGAGACGAAATTGTCGATGAAAATTTCTATCAAAAAGATAATTTTTACTGAGCATCGCGAAGAATCACGTTCGGTTGGATAAGCTGAGAAGAAACTCTCTCTCCATTTAGAAAACAACTCAGCCGGTGCGTGATCCACATGTACCGCCCGCCAGGGAAATTTGTTGCAATGACAGTGGTACTACCTGATCTGAGCAGAGACACGTCAACAGTATAAAAATGGGATTTCTAAAATCGTTGAGATCCTAAAATGTCGTTTTACGGGGGAACCAGTTGGGGCACCGCGAAACGTCGGCTGTCTTTTCAGGATATCATGCCTCTTGCGCGGCTAGCAGCCGTTTTTTTTTTTTTTTGAAAAGTTAGCGGAAAACACTTCGAGAATTAACCAGAGAAATACGAATCGACACACCTTTCGACATAGTTGGAAACCACACAAAATTTGCCTGGTCTCCAGATGGCTTGATTAGCTCTATTCAGAAGCGTATTACCCTGTTCGAGGTCCTGTGCTTCTGTTTAATAAGATAGAGCGTTGCGTCCGGTTATCGCAAAGGTCAGGGTTAAAAATTTTCCTGGTTTAACTGAGTCTGAGTTCAACCGGCTTGGGTTGTTTACTTTGAACTGCCACGATGACGTCTGCTTTCAAATCTTAATCCTCACTTCACAAACATATCAGTTCATTTTGTATATTCGTAGTTTTAAAAACTTAAAAAACAGTGTTTCTTGAGTAACGGGCCAGGGTGATATAACGTTTACCGCAGCTTATGGCAGTCCTTGAAATTGCTCAGGGAAAGCTGAACACTTAAACAAAATGTTCTCTTGTAAGACTACGTTGCTATCTGCCCACTTAGTAGTACAACGACAGTTTAGAGCTGTCTATAAAAACGTAAATTAAGTCATGGGGTACTTTTTAATTATCCTAATTTATAGTTTTAATACTGCCTTTTGCAGCTAGCCATTCACGTGGTACAAACCCGCCGTACTGGAGAGCAAAAGTCGCACTGGGACAATGCAAACAAAAGGCATACATAATTTTAAATGGTAAAGGGCCTACTGGTCTTCGAGCCATCGGGCTCTGTATCTATTGCATGGAATCCCTGACTTACACCCAAATATGTACAGAACGACCTTTTAATTCCACAAACCTTGAAATTCAGTTGGCGTTTCTCCACCGGAGGAGCTGGAGGTGGGATTTTGAATACTCCTCCAAATTGCTCGCTTTCATGAACAAAGGAGATCAGCAGCAAGATGCTGGTGATGAATATAAACGCTTGGATCTTCATCTGACTGTCACCTCTAACTAAACTTATTAGCACCGTAAAGCTACGATCGGTCTTTTGGTTTCTCTTCGTTATTTATAAAGATTTTTGTGCGTAGGTTAAGAGCCTCTTTGAAGAAAAGGGTGGTACTTCAGAGAAATCCATTTAACACTCAACATATGTGATCGACTGTCGTCTGCACCTTTGGATGAATTTGCATAACGTAAACTGGCAACATCTTTTTTCTTACAAGTCTTAGCAATAAGAATACTATTTATTGTCACGATTAGTTTGATTTAACAATCTTTTCTGGAGCTTTCCCCTCGTTATCTCGTCAGAATAAATGAAGGGCAGCAAGCAAGGGCACAATGTAGTTTCTGGCGGTAATAACTCTTCTAAATAGAGCAGCTGATAAACAATTCAACCTTTTAACGAAAGTCGATGAAATCTTTAAGTACATACTTTATAATAATAGTATAATAATTCAAATAAAGGAGGACCGTGAGGTTAGCCTTATTGAGGTAAGTTAACGTAATACTAGATGATGTTATTTTCTTGTTTGAGTGTTGGTGGGTGTGGTGGTGGGGGGAGCGGTGGGTACGTTAAGGCTTAGTTAAAGCGTACTTCTAGCCTTGGACATTTTGCAATTAACGATATCATATGATATGATATGACTATATATTCAGATAAAACTGTTTTGGCAAGGAAGTCACTTGACTTCTATTCGAACGGTTTCCTTTAAAGAAATAAACGTGGGTGATTGTATTCACGCATTGCGTACCTGTAGCAGTAGTGCGGATGTGCAGAGGTTCATGGTAAATGTTCTAGAACTTTGCTTTATGTTACCAGAGGTGCGTTATGAAAAAAATTTGATGACGTTTTTCTGATAAGTCAACTAACTGAAAAAGACAAATGATTGTGGCAGTTATGGGCGAAATAGAAGTATGAGAAATTCAGAGACTCAAAGAGATTCGGTATAAACGGAGCGCAATGCTCTACCTGCAAAATGTATGAAGCCACTGACGTTATAGGTTTGTTTTCGTTGGGACCAGGTCATTTTTTGTTTCATACCTCCTCTTGATAGGATGCGAAATAAACTAAACAAATCAAATGACTGCGCAAGTTTTACCAGCTGCCCCAAAGTCAGTGGCTTCTTATCACAATAAATGTTGTAAAAAAACTGTATTTGTAAATTGTAATTGTCCCGTGTATTTCTTTTTGGGGCTTACAAACCTTTCGCACGTGCTTGTATTTCTGTGATTTTGATTTCTCATTTAACAGTGTTGTAATCAAGTATTAAAGAAAGTCAGCATTCAACTGGTCTATAAGCAATCTAAAAGGAAAGGGCATTTGAAGGTTAAGCGGGTCGGCTCATCCGACTAAATATTGTAATTCACAAAGGGAACCGCTGTGCTTTATTGTTGAACTGATAAGAGAACACTCAAGAAACGTACTCCAAGGCGTCAACTGAAGGACTGTCACTTGTTGTGTTTTTGGGCTGGGGAGTCACACATACATGCACGTACAAAGCTTTGTTTCAAGTGCACACAGCTGTTCAAGTACTACTTAGGAGCGGCGATCAACAACTTTGACACGTAACTGATCTATTTCATGTTTTTTCCCTGCCTGGCTAAAAGTCTTCATTGACGTAACGACAATAGCGAACAGAATTCATGAAGAAGTTCAGCTAGTCTTTTATATTTAACCAACAGTCTTCAATTACGATGATATCAACAAACTACAACTGGGATCGCTACAAATACAGCCCACAGATACAGTCACTTCTCGAATCGCTCCACCCTACTGCAATGAAACCAGCCAGTGGTTTAGCCCCGGGCGGGGGGGACTCCGCATATGAAAGGGGTGGGGATGCTCGTCGGAAATTTTGAATTCAACCTCTAAAGAGACCGATCTGGGAGTGGCCCAAGCATTTTTTTGACCTCTAAAAGAGACCATGTTAAAACACAGACAATATATATATATATTTACATTTTTTCGCGTGTAACCCTAAACGAGACTTTCATGGCTAAATATGATGTCGTTTTATCCCCACCCCTTTCATATGCGGAGTACCCCCCGGGTTTAGCATCTCGATACTTTTCCTTTCTTTTAGTTAGGTTCCACAATAGTACTGAAAGAAGATTGTCCAGTTGCCGAAACTCCTTTAGTTTGATTAAACATTTTATTTAAATCTGTAAATAGTGACAAACAACATTTCAATTTCGCAGTTAATAGTCACCAGGCAGGTGTAATATAACACTGAATTTAAAGCATTAGTCAAAAAATCCAAAATTCTTTGTATTTCCCTCGAAATACCCAGAATTAAAAGAAACGTAGTATATTATAGTATACTGTAAAGTCGAGTTTATAGGTTACTTCAAGAGAAAGAAACCATATCTTTACCCGGTCTGGAAAGAATTAAGCCCGTATACTATATCCACTTGGTCGGATCCACAGCATGTTAGCGGGCATGGATCGCGCTAACTTGAGCCCATTATAGTTCGGCTGTATAATGTTCTCACACATGTGTACGCTAAGTAGTGAGTTTTCATACGAATAAAGCCAAAGTTCTAGTACGCGACCACCTTGGTATTCTTAAAAATGGTCGCAACTAGCGTTGATGGTCGTTTACAAGAATGGGCTTTCGTAAGCCACCATGTGATAAACATATCGATGGCTGTCGTCTCGAGAACTTTCAGCAAAAACCAATACTCGACAATACATTCTGGTAAAATAATCTTTAAAAGATTCTTATTTTACTACGGTAACCTATCGCATTCGCAGTTAACTATTAGTATCGCTTATGTTATGTATCCCTTCCAAGAGAGAATCTTGGATCGGAGAAAATGCTTTTTAAGTCTTGACTGTTTGGTTTACTTAGTACGAGAATTTTGAGACAAAGAAAAAAAAGGGAAGGTTTATATTCCTAAAAAATCATCCGCGTTCGCTTAAGGTGGCTCCCTAGAGTATTTACTAATAACCCTAGCTATCTAGCATACGTTACAGAGCGAAATCTAGTTACTTTGTCTTTGCGATTTTGTTCACCAGATTCACCGCTGAGCTTACTCATATAAGAAGGCTCCTTTATCAAGTTTCTTTTTCTGGATTAAGGACGTTGCCATGGCAACATCGCATCCTCAGACAGGCAGTAATTTAGTCATTTTTGATCATTTTGTCTTAATATTTCTTATTTCCCTCGGTGAAATGTCTTTAATTTTTGCCACTTTATATAATCGATATTGCTTAACATTTTAAAGTGGAAAAAACATGGGGTCGTTAAGACGGTTTTGCCAACATTTTGAAATTTGTATTTTTCTTAATGGAGGAATTTAGCTCTTACAGATTTAACAAAAAAAAGGACAGTACAAAGGTACTGCAACTGTTAAGAAATGTGATAGAGTTGGCAAAACAAAACAAAAACATTTACACTCCCTGTAATCTTGTCTTAAAGCCACTTCTAGAATCAAATGTAAGAGAAATAAAGTGACCGAGGAGCTCCGCCAGTGAAGATAATCTTCAGTGTTTGTTCGGGAATTGGCTCGATCTTTCAGATCTTTCCACTGACCGTGATTCAAATGCCAGAAACAGCAACGTTGCTTCCTTCTGGGTTAGTGTACTTACTTCTTTGTTTTCTTAGTAAAGTTTCCACTCACCATTTACTTCGACTATTTAACGTTTGTCTACCTTTGAAGCGAAAGAATTAATGTCTTGGGAAAATTTCTGCTTTGTTTTTACATACAATTTACTCTTATGGAGATCGATAGTGACTTGTAACCGGTGTAACATTGTCTCCTCTCATAAATGTTGACCTTAACTAATCAAACTTTTTGCACAATGAGCTTCAACAGAAAGTTAATAAAGTTTTTTGGGGGGAATATTTCGAAACTGAATAACTTGAGATCAGGCGTTATAATTTTTTTTTGCTTCTTTGCTTCTTTGCTTCCTTGCTTCTTAGGCTCAAGGGGGAAAAAAGTAACGCCTTATACATCCATTTAACAAGCCGTCAACCACCCCCTAATTTAAATAATCTAACGTCTGCTTGACCTGCCATGTTATTAGCTAAGAGCGTTTACAAATGCAAGACGGGAATCAAATTTTGCTGTGTGCACAAGCTGTGTGCACTTGTGTTGTTTTTCTGATGAAATACTGCTTGCTGGAGCTGCCGTACCTTTATTTAACAGCTACAAATAATAAAGAATTTACTGGCAAAAGCTCGTTGACTTCGTTCTGTGCCGAAAGCAGTGAAAAAAAAATAGGCTGAAGTACCATATTTCACAAACTGAAAGGTGTTGTGAAAGCGAAGATCGCTCAGAATAATTCGCAGGTTTCTGAAGGACGAATTACAGTCAAACAAGGTCAAGATTCCATTCATGAATTGATTATTTGAAAAGTGAACCCGTTTGCCGCCTCTGTAACTTGTAGCCGGTATCAAATTGCATTCAAAGGATCGGTGAATTTTTGACTGCAACTTTTTACTATACGATGAGATGGAAAATTTTTCAATGGATGAAATTTCTATTTTGGCATTCTTCAAATTCAAGAAAACTGAGCCGGCAGAAATTTCAAAACGAACTCGCGTGTGTATTCACTCCTCATTTCGCAAGCAAAAATACAGACTGAAATCAACAACAACTAACAGATGGCGGCATTTTTGGCCAATCGGAACAGCGCAAATCATCCATATTGTTTTCCTGATCCAATCAGAAAAAAGTCCAGATTCTGGCTTTTTTACATGCGATCCGACAAAGAAATGTATCATGCTCTCTTCCCGTGAGAGACATAAAGGGACAATAGGGAGAGGGCATGATCTCAGGCTAGAAACCGAGAGGCCATGTTTGTTTTAATTTTTGCGAGGACGTCGCGCGGATTTTAAAGCTCGCGCCATACTAGTGCTCAGGCTGCGCACGGCCAATTTTCTTTAAGGAGCCACCTTAAGGCAGGAGTCACTTATAAAAGAACTTTTCACAAACCTTGAGTCACAGTTCAAACAGAGTTTGTCGCAACTAGAGTGGGCCGCTTGCGAG